TACTACTACGACTACCACTACTACGACTACGACTACGACTACGACTACTACGACTACTACGACTACTACGACTACTACGACTACTACGACGACTACGACTACTACGACTACTACGACTACTACGACTACTACAACTACAACGACCACTACGAATACGTCGTCTACTACTACCACTACGACGACTACTGCTACTACTACTCCTGCTACCTAATAGTACTAGTGCTACAGCAATGGTCGTGGGAGTCTACGGTTTCTGGGCTGGGAATCGCGGGTTGCAGCATGCACGAGGGTACGTCCAAGCTGATTCGGGGCAGGGGATGACAGTCTTCGGCAGGTGAATGGTCTGAGGATGCGAAGGCTGAAGTGTTCAGCCAGGCGTGACTCTCGGCACTCGCTTTCTGCTGGCCAGAAGAAGCGGCTTCGTTGGCGCCATGTGGTGCCTAGGTTCGTCAAGTGGTGGAGGCGCTGCAGGAGAACACGTTGATGTGAGTGTGGGCAAAGCTGTTGTTTTACAACATTTTGCTTGTGATGGTTTTTGCAAGTCGCAGCTCCAGTCTACTGGGCTGAATGCATTTCTGATGTTCTCCTGACTGAGCCCGAGGAGGAGCTCCGTGACAGTGAGCTGCTCTTGGCAGAGCTGCAGGAGTCACATTCCTGCACTTTATGCCTACGCAGTATGGAAATCTCAGACTTGGTTTGTCTCCCGTGCCAAGAATTCCCACAATATCTTATCAAACGGAATTCTTCTCCAGGAGAAGGCTGACAGCTTGGAGGCCGGGAAAGAAAGCCCAGCTGCGAGAGAGACAGAGTAAACAAAAAGCACAGCAACAGCAGGAGAAGCACACGCTCCTCCTCCGCAGAGTCCGCCGTGCCGAGCGAGATCGGGACGTGGTGGGAAGCCTGGGCAGAAGCTTCGATTCTCTCGTGCTGACTGCGTTCGTGCATATGCGCCCAGTGAGGCCGTGCAGCGAAGCGCTGAGGTAGAGGTGCCCTTTACCCTTTACTCTCATCCCTCCATGGCCTTAGCTGCACTCAAACCTGGAGGTTGCAGTGAGACAGCTGCGAGAAGAAGCAGCGCCGGTCATTGCGCGGTTTATGGAGTCGGAGGTTCTTCGGAGCCAGCTTCAGGCGCGTCCCCGTGGTTTTGTTCTTAAGGAGTTGAATGGTGCAGGTGCGAGGATCGTGATGCACTGAACTGCAAGGCGTGCAGCGAGGACCTCGTGCGGCTGAAGGAGGAGATGGCGGCTTGCAAGGATGAGCTAGCAGAAGGTCCCCCTTGGATTGGGGAAGCTGAGGATGTCCGACGTTTTTGGCAGTCTGAACTCCAGTTTTGGAGGCTTGCCCAAGCTCGCAGAATTAGAGGATGACGAGGTGCCTGCGGTAGATGTGATTTGGTTTCGCGAGAGAGGCACTGCCTTTCTTTGTCCCTTCGTTTCTATTCAGCCGTCTCCGCCACATTCGACAGTGCGGACATGACAAACTCAAGGTAGAGACCGCAAGTGTCGCGAAATCCCAGATCTGTCAAAGACTGGAGATTCCAAGCACATCACATGTTCAACGTACTTATACAACTACAAGTACAATTGCAACTGCATACACATCTACATAATCATACATCTACAACAGCAGCAGCAACATCAACTACTACTGCTTCTGCTGATGTCGTCACTATTGCTAATGCTGCTGCTACTTCGGCAGCTACTGCTGCTGCCCCTGGCCCTGCCACTGCCCTTGCCCCTTCCCCTTCCCCTGCCAGTGCCACTCCTGCCGCTGCGCCTGCGACTGCGACTGCCACTGCGACTGTGACTGCAACGACGACTACGACAGCGGACATGACCACAACGAAGACGAGGGCTAGTGCTGCCTCTGCTGCTGGTACTGCTTCTGCTACTGCTGTTACTGCAACGGAAGGAGACTGCCGCTTCTAGTGTTATTTGTGGTGCAAGCGCTAGTTCTAGTTCTTGTAACGCCGGACCACTACCGGACCCTTTCTGGTAGTGTTGCTAGTACTATCGATGGGACTATGAACACCGTTGCCACTGCTACTACAGAATCTCGAACCAGACTAGAGAGTTTGACAACAAGCCGATTGAGCAAAGGGAGCAAGCCAGTCGAAAAGGATGCGAGAAACAAGAAGGGAGAACAAAAACTGGTATTCAGAGTCTGACATTTTCTAGTCGAAAGGGAGTACCCAGTTCGAGAGAACAGGCGTTGAGAACGAATAGAACGTTGAGAAGGATGAACGACTTCGTTGAAAGAGACCAACGACTCTGACAAAGTGGGGAACTTGAGAAAGAGGGATAACCAGTCGAAGCGGACTAGAAAAGTCGAGGAAAAGGAAGACACCGCTGGAAAGGGACTCAAGAATTTAAGGAAGAGGAACAAAGCGCTTGAAAGGAATTAGAGAGCTTAGCGAATCTGAGCAACGACATACAGGAACAAAGCGCTCGAACGAGAGGAACAATGGAGAAACAGAAGCAAACCAGTCAAAAAGGGAGTACAAGAAATAGAAGCTGGAGCAAAGCACTCACGCAGAACTAAGCGGGTTGACAAGGAGGAGACTCTGACAAACAAGAGCAAGTCGTTCGAACGGTAGGAGGCGAGGTGAGAAACAGCAGCAAACCGCTCGAAAGAAACTAGAGCCTAGAGCATTATCCGTTGAGATGGATGGGAAAATCAATCGAAAGGGTTCGGGACCGCGGGAGTCTGAGAAAGAGGAGCAAACCCGCCAACAACTCGAGAACGGACTTCAGAAGTTTGAGCACCGGGGGCAAATCCCTCCGAAGAAGAACCAGATAGTTTACAAAAGGAGAAATCGAGAAAGAGAAGCAAACTAATCGAATGAGTAGATAATTGAGAAGCAGGAGCAAGATGTGTTCGAGAGAGTTTGACACAGAGGAGAGTTTGACAAACGGGAGCAAACCAGCCGAAAGGGACAAGAACACTTATGAGACAGGCGCAAACTCAGAGGTTGAGAGGAGCAAGCCAGTCGAACGGGACCACAGAACTCGAGGGACAGAAGCAAACCACTCGAAAAGGACTAGACGGAAGTGAGGAAAAGGAGCAAGCCAAGTGAACTGCATCAGAGAATCTAGCACAGAGGAGAATTGGAGAGAGAAAGGCACACTGGTGGAACAACACCGCTCAAAAGAGACTGGAGAACCTCAGAAACAGGAGCGAACACACCGACAACAACAAAACTATTGACGGGGACTCCTGAGAAATAGGTTCAAACTGGTAGAAAGAGATTAGAGAATCCAAGAAAGAGGAGCAGCCCACTCGCAAGAAACTAAACAATGTGAGACAAACTCGTTCGAAACATGACCTGACAAAGAGGAGCAAGCCAGTTGAAAAGGGCTAGAAAGTTTCGGAAGCAAGAGGAGAGACTAGAAACTCTGAGATAATTTGACAAAGTGGAAGTATGAGAAAGGGGAGCAGGCCAATCGACACAGGATTCGAAAGTTTGAGACGCAAGTGCAAGCCTATCGCAGGAAACTAGAGAGTTTGAGAGAAAAGAAAATTTGAGAACGAGGGGCAAATCAGTCGAACGGGATTAGAACCAGGGACACAACCGCTCGCAAGGGATTACAGCTTGAGAAATAGGAGCAAACCAGCCGCAAGGTTGTAGAACATTGGAAAAAATTGTCTAGGGCGCTCACCTTGCCTAAAGCGAGTCACCTCAGCGAGAGGAGCTGCTTGGCGTGGGGTGATGCGAGGGCACTTGCAGAATGGCACGCTCATCCCTCGCATGATTTTGTTTTCGACGGGCGACGGTGGTGCTGTAGGCGCTGCCGCCGAAGAGGCCCGTTAAACTTTAGCCGACGGTGGCTTGGACTTTGCAAGGCTTAGGCCTAGCTCCAGCTCTGCTGTGGTTGTTAGGAAAAAAAAAGAAGAAGCGAATTGCTCGAACGAGACAACTGACCAAGAGGAACAAACCGCTCGAACAGGCAGCGACCTTGTGCCAAAGACGAGACGTCGAAAAAGAGGATCAAAACGATTGAAAAATGTGAGCAAACAGCTCAATAAAGACTGCAGGTTCTGAGAAAGAGGAGCAATTTCGCGCCAAACAGACTAGAGTATTTGACGAATAATAGCAAACCGATCGAATGAGACTAGAGATTTTGACCATGAGGAGAGGGTGAGACTGAGGAGCAAACGAGCAGACCAGTCGAAGGGGACTAACCAATTTGAGAGACAGGAGCTTCCCGCTCGAAGTGCAGAGTCGAGAAAGAGCAGAGGTTGAGAAAGTTGGGCAGACCAATCGAACACGACTAAAGCATCTGAGAAATGAGAGCGCTTGTTCAAGACATTGAGAGTTTAGCAAAAATAAACCGCTCGAGCGACAGTCAGGGCTTTGACAAAAAGACAACCTTGAAAACAAGGAGCGAACCAAATGGTCGCCTTCATGTGCGACCGGCGGGGTTGCCAACGCCGTCGTTTGTTTTCCCTTGCCTCTCTTCATTTGGGGGCCGGTGAGGTGGCCAATGTTAGCTTTGTGGCCTTTTGCCCCTTCTCTAACAGCTGTGAGTATGTCGGGCTTGGAAGAAGTCGGCTTCATGTTCAGCCACTTGCCAGCCAGAATGCCTTAGACTGCCAGGGGCCATGCTCGTTGAATAGAACCCCGAAGCCAACGTTGCTGAGTCACCGTCAGAAGTACCCAGGCAGAGTGTGCAGGAGCATTGGCGCAGCTCGAGGCGCAGCACACTGAGGAGGCAAGACAGGAAGCTTTGTTTGGGGATTTAGGTTTATTTCGCAACAGGACAACTGCCTCGACAGGAACAAAGTTTTCGTGTTACTGCTACTGCTAGTGTCTTGGTCGAACGCTGCACCTTGCAGAAGAACTTGAGACAGGTGTTTGGCAAGATGAAATGCGCAGACACCACAGAGAAGCAAGACAGAACCCGTGAGCTGGCCAGTGAGACTCACGGGGCCGCAACCCTGAATTGTTTTGAATTCGCAAGCGGAAGATACGACCAGAACGTCCGAACCCCGAAACCCTGAAGTCGACGCGCCTTCCGTATTGATCCAGCGGGCAGGCTTTCAATACGTAAGTCCTGTGCCCTCCAGAATAGGCTTTGCATCTCAGGGATGCTCAGGGTTTAGGGTTTACGACCAGGGCCTGAGGCTTCAGGGTTGAGACGGCATGCAGCTTTGCAAACGTTGTTCCATGTTCTGCGGTTTGGGTCCCGCCACGCTCCTCTAGCTGTTTCAAAAAACTGTGCCCTGAAGGAAATCCTAGTTTCGGCTGGCCCTGGCCCTGGTTGATTCTGCAGGTTAGCTTGCTGACCACCTTGCACAAGCAGGACCTTTCTTCTAGTTTTGCAGCCCCAGTGCACAGGGAGATACGCGCTCTGTGGCAGCAGAGAGATTGGTTTGCTTTGAAAACCGTTCTCTCCTTGCCGAAGATGCTCAACTCAACACTCTAAGCTTGCAGCAGCACACAGGGTTAGGTGGAAAAGCAACCCTGGCGGCCTCCGCAAGGTCAATGCGGCCCCTTCAGCCCCAAATTTGTGACTTGTGCTCCTGGTCATGGCCTGCCATGGCGCGAAGCAGATCGCGCTCACGCTCGCCAGCCCAAGGCCTGGGCACGGAGACACCTTTGCCGCTGAAAGGGCCTTTAAGCCTTAGCCGAGATGCCTGGCAAGGCGAAGTGCAAGGGGTCCAAGTCCGGACCCCGACTGCCAGGCCTGGTGTACGCTCTCTTGCATTCGGGCCGTGACCTGCTCCGCCAGGGCAAGGCGGGCTGCTTTTGTCAGCTTGGCCACGGAAGACTATGGACGGGGTGCGCTGGTGATGTCTGTGACTGGGCTGCGATATGCCGCGATGCGGGCGCTTACGGTCACCACGGCAACAGAGAGCTGCAACTGCAGGCGAGCATGCGATCCCGACTGCCAGAAGACGTGGACGTGATAGTCTTTAGCGATGCAGAGCTGGCAGTGGTGCCAGGCGGAGCGTGCCCTCGTGCCAGGCTTCCTGGCATGACATGATGATTGCGTGGACTCGCATTGGATCTGCCAGGTGTCTCTGTGCGTGAGTTGGAAGACCTCCCAACAGTATCCCCACCGCAGCAAGCAGGCGAACCGCTGATGCCAGATACCTGGGTTTCAGATGCTTGTGATGCAGCTCTTACTGTGGTTCTTGCATTCTCCCTATCGTTGCGCCTGCTGCCGCAGCGTGCGAAAGTGTCAACGGCACGGCATTGTGCTGCCGTGAGGCCACATTTCCGGTTTTGCTGGCGCAAGCTCGGTCTCTGGGCTCTGGAGGTCCGGCTCCTAGGGTGTTTGGTGGTTCCGGTTGTGCCATGCTGTCCCTCTGTTGAAGCTCACGGTCATGCTCACAGAAAGATGGTTTTACATGGACAGCAAAGATGCAGTAATTTCTCTTCCGTCCTGTCTTTTTGACTGACTGTCCAAGCGCCACTTACCGTGTGGCAGAGGAGTATGATGTCATCTTCTATCTGGACTCGGACATGTTGGCAGTGGGCGATGTTGCTGGGTTGCTGGACTTCATGCCAGAAGAAGGGCAGCCCGCTGCTCAGCGACACCGTAGGCCGTAGGCCAGTCAAGGCAACTTTGATGCCCGATGCCACGCGCGTTTTGAGGTTGGGTGCGGTGCCTTCCTGCGAGTGTTGGCGGTCGGAATCGTGCAACTACACCTTGGGGCCGAGAGAAGGCGCCTCAAAATGGGGGACAAGGGAAGCCGCCTTTTGAAACACTTCGCCCTCTCTTGCCTGCGAGGCCTCTACGTCAACGCAGGACTGCTTTGTTTCCGACCGAGTATGCTGGAGCTCGGCAAGATGAGAGAAGCGCTGGCGAACTGGACTTTCTCAGAGCCACTTTGCCCCAACAGACCAGCCTGTGCGCCTCAAATGCCTCTCTTTTTTGTTGCACGCAGGGTCCCTTCAACTGAATCAGTATTCGTCTGTTCTCGTGCTTCCAGTCGCAGCATGCAGTCCAAACGCCGTGAATGTTGTATGTCAGTGCGGTTTTGAGCTGGTCAGTGTGGTTTTTTAGCTGACGGAGCGCATATGCATGTAGCAGTTGTCAGGCGAGATGCACAGCCGAATGCCGCCCACTTCTTCCCAGAAGCAATGCTCCCTGGACGGACACACTGCACGTCCAAGCAGGAAGCTAGGAGCCGACGACCCGACTCGCGATTCCAGCGCTTACAGACAAAGCAAAGCAGTGCTTGAGGCCATTCGCTGAACAAGATTTTCTCAACAGCTTCTTCCGTGGGCGGATACGACCCCTGCCATCGGCCTTCAACGTGACCTGGCATGTTCAGGCTTCGGGAAGGCTTTGGTCGTGAGTGCCGGCAAACAGCCATCGCGTCAGAGGATGCTAGGATACGCTAGAAGACTGAGCTCGTTTCTGCAGATTACCAGCAGATGGCACGAACCATAGTCCATGTCGGAGGCATGTCCGCGCATTGCAGAGATCCACGTGACTCAAGTCGATGAGCGAAGCCTCCACCGCTTCGTGAAGACCCGTTCTGAGGCGCTCCAGCATGCCATGAAGAATCCAAAGCACATGGCGGCATTGGAGCTTGAAAAGTGCCGAATACTGCACTACGTCATGGGGAAGCCGAGCCCTTAGCACAGGAGAGCATTATGTAGGACAATTAGGGTGTTTGGCAGCCGTCGGACTCCCGGATTCAGGCATGGTAGGACTGAAGCCAGCGCCAGGGACTCTTTCTTCTTTGCTGCGCTGGAACCGTAATGCAACCTGTTCGAAGGGCTTTCTAGAGAAGGTTTGCGAAGGAAATATGATGAAATATGGGTACCTGTACCGTAGCGGCCTCTAGGAGGACGAGTTTGTTGCGAAGGCCATGGGAGCGCGCGAGCAGAGTGGACGAGGATGTTGCGGATTTGCGCGCGCTCTGGTGGCAGGCATGGAAGGACCGCATGTGCAAAGTATTGGCAGTTGGTTCTCTTGCACAGAGCCGGGCCCCGGGCAGTGCTTTGTCTCCGTCGCTCTGCAGAGGACAATGCTTCGAAGGCTTGCCTTCATCCGCGCTGGGAGAGGCATCGTGTACACGCCGCTCTCCCCCTTTTTCTGGTGAAGGACTTTGTCAACGTGGAGGGGGAGGCACGGTCTTTGCAAGGTGAGGTCAGAGGCAGAGGCTTCGGCAGCCAAGGCCTCCCTGATCTCCGAGATCTACGGGGAGGAGTTGAAGGCACGCGGCCTGGGACCCTGCGCCAGAAGCGAGAGATCTGCAACTCAGGGAAGATGGACGCAGCTGAGACGGCGACGCCTCCTGTGCCTCGGAGGCTTGGACATGGGTGGCGAGTGGAGTCGTGTGTTTTTTTCGCCGAAGTTTCTGCCGAAAGTCAGGTGTGCCTCATCCAGACGGGGCCATTTGTGAAGACCTTCCCCAAGCCATCTTCCAACTTGGATCAAACCTCGTCCGGGTCGGTGCGACGGAAGGTCGGTGGCTTACGGTGTCAGTGTGCCAGTGGCGATGCTGACGTGTGATTGCATGTTTATCAGGATCGCCGAATCAGTGCTTCATCAACCAGTATAGTCCCGGTGAGGGCATCGATGCTCATTGCACCATGACTGGATGAGGAAAGTCAAACCTATAAGAATAGGTTTAGCAGTCCGTTCTTAGTGCCCCTGGTTCTCTCTGCGTCCCTGCCTCCCTTCTTTCACTTTCTTCCTTGAGGTGACGGGCCACAATTTCATCCAGAGGTGGCGATCCTCACTCTGGAAGGCCCTGCGCTGCTGCACTTTGGTCTCGTGGAGAAGAAGGCGCGGCCACTGCATCGGATCTTTGCACCTGAGCCTCCCCAAGTCTGCGCGTGCTCGCAGTGCGCAGGCGTACCCGCATCTTCCTCCTCGCTTCGAGGCGGTGCTTTGGAGTCCTAGCATTGATCCTCGGTGATGCCTTCTGCAGAGGTGCTGCTGGAGCCCAGATCCTTGCTTGTGATGAGGGGCGAGGCGTACAACCTCTATGTGCATCGCATTGATCATGCGGAGGCACCCACAAGCCTTTGAGCCTGTGTCCGCCCGCAAGACGCTTTCTGAATATGTACCGTCCTGCAGGCCGACACTACAAGGCCCGAGGAAAAGAACCCAAGAACCGCAGCACTTGAACAAGTGTTCCATTGGCTGATGCCAGGGATGGTCTCGAAGTTCAGCGTGCTCGGCGAAGAACGTCCTTGACCTTTCGACGCCTGGCGCACGTGAAGTTGGAGAGCAAGGCAGACCCATAATTGGGAAACTGGGGCTGGGGTGGGAATGCCTCGCTGCCTCAACTGTCGGAGGATGTGAAGGGCGAGGCTGAGAGACTTGGCCGACAGGCTCAGTGGCGCTGGTTCGCGACACAGCTTAGCGAGTTCGACTAGACTAGACAGAGCGCTCGGCCCTGCACGCTCGGCCCTGCACCGGGGCGACTGGCCGCGGTACCCGCAGCAACTTCTCCCCGTGTGCCGGGGAGCATGAAGCATGCGCGGAGAAAAGGGTGAAAGAATGCCGGGTGGCTTGATCTCGACTTCCGTGCTCTTGGAAGTCGTGGATCCGGCCTGCAGGAGGTGGAGGAGCTTCGCTGTCAGCACGCTCTGAAGGCGGGGAGGAACAGACACGGAGTCGGCTGCGCGGTGACCTGGAAGGTAGCGGAGCTCGAGCGCGCGAGACGAGAGCAGGCGGCGACTTCGTGGGAGCGGAATTTCTTTTGCAAGTCTGGCTCCGGTACGTGGAGGTGGATGAGCTGAAGCGGTCAAACGCGGAGGCCGCAGTGCGCCCTCAGAGGGTGCCGGCATTGCGACCTACGAAAGCGTGTGGCAGGAGTCAGACCAGCTCCGCTCGGCCTTGGAGTCAGCTCGATGGCAGGCACCTGCCCAGCTTGGCCCGCCCGCCGAAGCCTTCGGATTTCACTAGCGCAAGCCACACAGCGGTCTTTGGGACTCACATGTAAAGTGTGTCTGCGGCGAGCGTTAATGTGCAGACCAAAGGAAAGGCCTCTAGGATGCGGAGATGTGCCAGAAGGCAACGAAGAAAACACAGAGAAGTCGGTCGAGACAAGCTCCCGACTTCTTCCGCCTGCTTCCGCCTGCTTGGCAGAATCAGTTACAGGATTACAAAAAAGCTAGACATGCACCGTAATTACCATCTGCTTTCAGGCGGACGTGTACGTTCGGGAGCATCAGGCCATCGACCAAAGATTGCGGCTCGTGTCCCTTTCTAGTGATGCATTGAGCCAAATTTCTTGGCCAGTGCAGGAGGCTGTTCGCGAAATCTGCCTGAGGTGGGGAGAAATCCCCCAGCTGCTGACGGGTTTGCACTTGCAGCTTTCTTCAGGCAGAGGGAGAATGCTCGCTTGGCAAAGAAGCACAGCGAATCACGGCAAGAAGCACGGCCCTCAGTGAGAAGACGCCTGGACCTGGCACCCCACACACCAAGGCAGGATCGCGTAGTGTATTGAGCGCGGTTTGAACAGGATCTTGGACAAGCTTATAAGGGTTTAAAGTTTAACGGTCTCTGTGCATGTTTGTCGCCTTGTCCTCTGTGCAGAAACCCCGGCAACCTAACAAATCCTAGCATTCCACATGCTGGACATTTCGCCGAGGCCCTCGAACTGGCCGTTCGCCTCGAAGCGCTGAAGGCGGCCGAGGTTCGAGCCGACCGCTCGTAGAACGTCGTAGGAGATGTCGAAGTTTGCCCAGAACTCCTCGCTCTCTGCTGTGCAGGGTTGTTTCCTTGCATCCCTTGTCGTCATTGCAGACTCTTCCAGCTTCGGTTCGCAGCTCCAGTGCGGTGCTCGAAACCTGTAGTGCGCTGTATGGGTCACCAGCAAGACAGGACAATCGGATCGGATGCGCACATGAAGCACGAGAATTACGCAATATCTTTTTCCACAGCATGTTCGAACAGCCGCAAAAGTCTCAGCTGCCGTGCCCTGCCATGGCTGTCGAGGAGGCTGACTCAACAGACAAGCACACTGGGACGCTGGGCAATGACGTGGCTATGCAGACTGACGGTGTACCAGGCTCAAAGAAGTCAAACTCGCAAGGCTACCCGGACACCACACCCGCTCAGAATTGCAAAATGGCGCTGGTGGAAGTGACCAAAGAAGCTTCCACCACCAGTCGGCCGGATCCTGAGGACGAAGAAACGACCGCGAATTACGCAGGTCCCTTGGATGTGTCCATGTCGGATGCAGTGGCGGAAGAGACTGCGCCAAAGGCAGAGACCGAAACGCCACAGGAAGACAAGAATCTCCCGGCCCAGTTGGTGGAGCCAAACCGCCAGGATGCCAAGACGTGTCGCGGAGACGCCAGTCCGCTGGAATCATCGCGTCGAGGCCGGCCTTGAGGAGGAAGACGACCTAATTCATATCGAAAAGTTTCCCAAGTCCATACCGTCAGGGGTCAGGGGGGTTTCAGGCAAGGTGTACACAGGCGACAGGTGGTGGGACCAGGTTAACATACCTGGAAAGAAGCGGGCAGCCGCTGTCCTGTGCAGGTCAGCCAGAAAGTCAGCTGTCTGCTTGCTTCAATCTTCCCGATGTCACGGAGACCTTGGGGGCGGCCTGCTGCGACCCGCCACTGCTTGCTCGGCATCTTGGAAGAAGCTTAAGAGGAGAAGACATGTAGGCGGCTAACTATGGCTATCCCTAGATCCATGTATGTAAATCTCCGACTGGATGACAGTCCAGCCAGGCTCGGCATGGCCGATGTCACGTTGCAGCGGCTCATCTTTTGCCGCAGCTTCGCTGAGCGGCGGGCGCAGGACTTCCGCGAGAACGGCATGACTTGGGCCTCAGGGTGCACCAGCCTCGAACAGTTACAGATCGGCCTCAGCGTCTCGGAGATCTGCGCTTCAGATAGCCAGAACCATCTCTACTTCGAGTACGGAGGTGGTGTGAACCTTCTGGAGGAGACGAAGCAGCTGGTCCATGCAGCAGCGCTGTTTGCTCAGAAACACCCTCGATTGCGACTGCATGTAGATGCGCATGCAGGGGTTGGGGCACCCAGGGGAATCGCCACCAGCACCTCGCGCCGGCGCGCGGAGTGTGTGCAGACCGAGCTTGTTGCTCTTGGGGTGGACCAAGAGAGAGTCTCCACCACCTCTTGGGGAAGGAGGGTAGCGAGTGTTTGGTCTGAGCCAGAAGGTAATGCGGCTGCTCGAGCCGAGCTGTATTTCCGTCTGGGCGAGAAGGAGTTTCCGGTACGGCCGGATCACTACCAAGACGTTCCAGAGGGGAACAAAGGCGACTCACCAGACTCTGACTCTGACGGCGATCATCCTAACATCAGACGGCAGCGCATGCTCGCCATGCTCAGGGCTTTGGGATATCCTGTCCAAATTGTTTATCGGAATCCTGAGAACGTCCCTCTCCTCGCAAGGCAAGAGTCATCGTCGGACCAGGAGGAGACCGAGAGCTGAGATTCAAGTTTCCAGCAGCGGATTCTTGATATGCCTAACTTGCGCAGACGGCGAAGGGCACGTAGCTCTTGCCCGCAATGCGCATAGCTGTACATAGCTCATTAGGACCAAGGATTTTAGCCGGTTTCGGAGCACACAGAAACAGTCCCTCGAAAGCCCTTGAGCTCCGAGATCTGTTTGCGCGAGTATCCAGGCTGGCGCACCTGCAAGACAAGCCGAGCTACAGGCTGTCCGTCCCCTATCCGAGCACTGAACCCTTCGGGCTTCGCACTTCGAATTCGACGAGGTGCGACATCGCTACAACCTGCTGCTGCAAACTGCGGCGGAATGGCGGGAGGTGGCCTACAGTCGTAGAATCGGCATCGAGGTACTGTCTGTAAACGCTTGCCAGGCATTGATACGGAAGCAGGGCGACTGCGACCTGTGGCGGCGGCGATCAGCAAGCTACGCCTGTTGCGAGCTTCCAGGCGCCCGCCTTTGGAACGCTTAGCTTCTTTGCCAGGAGTCCAAGGGACTCGCAGTGCGCCGCGACGATGCAGAGCTTCAGGCCCATGACTGGGCCGGTTCAAGGCATCTTCGCGCCTGTGCAGTCAGGCTGAAATCCAAAGCTTGGTTGCTGCACCGGCGTTCAGGCCGTGCCATGTCCTAGCATGCCTTCTGCGTGTATCCGGGGTTCTCTTGAGACTTGGTCTTCTGTTCGCCAGTCCTCCACGGCTTGGCTACTGGGGAGAGGACGGTGTGCACTCACTTTGCCGTGGTGTAAGAGCCCGGGGACATGTAGAGGCTTTTGGCGGCGACAGACCGACAACGCAGACGACGAGCGAAAATCTCAGAGACGACCTGGCTTGCGTGAGGCTGCGCGGCTTCCGGCTTGTGCCCTGTGGAGGTCATATCGGTCAGGATGACAGCTCGGTCCTTACAGGCAAGTTTGAGTTGGATTGGATGGCACTGGACTCTTTGGGCTTTGCGAGGTCGGAGTGCCGCCTCCTGGGCCGGTTGGATGCGCACACCCAACAGGCAAAGACAATCTTAAGCCGACATCTGACGTCGTCTGAAAAGGCGGTGCTCAAGAGTTGCTTGAGTTGCCTCAGGCGAACAGCGCCCCTGCAGTCACCTTTGTGGAGACGTCCAGCTCGCAGAGGGAGGTCACTTGAGTCTTCCAGGCACTGCATCGCTGGGGACGGCTTTGCCGGACAAGCCATGTTTGATTGGAATCTGACTGGCAGCACGTGGTACCGTATTCATCCGTGAGGGAAGCTGGAAGCTTTCAGAGCTCTAATGCGGCCTGAGCCAGGCTCGGGCTTCCTGTCTCCGGGCAGCCGCGCGGGCACCTGAGCCAAGGCTTCCGAGGCGTCTTACGAGAAGGGGCTGCTCCCGAGGTTTGGATGTGACTCCACGCTCGCCGCCTCGTCCCCGAGTTTTGGTCTCTTTATGTGCTTCGTTTCAACTTGTGGGTTGGACATCAGGTCTCCTCACCCAGCAGGGGAGGCAAGACAAGTCTTGCTTAGGTGGTCTAGGCTGTATGGCCTGCTCGGATGCACGAGTCGCCTGCGAAAAGGTTTTTCTCAAACGCAGTCAGACGGACAACCGTTTAGAATACTCCATCAGAATCAGTACATAATCTGCTGTAAGAGCATCCCTGTGTGTCCGCACCTGCAAGTGAAGCACCCGCAGAAACCACGTTTAGCACTGTAGTCACGTAGTCACTGTAGTCAGGCAGTTACAAAACGGGATGACTGTGCTATGCGCCGCTCATGGCCCCTGAACTGGATCCATGCTCGAGCTCCTGCTGCGACTTGTGATTGTGCACATGCCTCAGACCTCTGCAGACGGGATCGAGTCTCAGAGTGAAGCGCCCGAGAGCGAGAGCGAAAGCGAGGTGGCTGGTGCCAGGCGGCGCGCTCGCTGCCGGGGTCACTCCCGACTTGTGCCTCGAAGTCGAAAGTCTAGCGAACTCCCGAGCACCAGGCTCTGCCCACGCTGTGCTCTGAGGCTCACCAGCCTTCTGTCCATCGGCGCGACCCTTTGCGAAATCTGGATATGGCTTTCAGCGCTCACAAGCTCCAAGCGTCGATCGCCGCCTTGGCGAAGCTTTTTCCTTCGACTTGCAGGCTTGTGCACGCTGCAGCCGCTAGTCGCAGGAAGAAGCAGCAAGGTTTTTAGCCACTTCGCCCCCCTTTGAGAAGTGTATCAACCGGCCGCAGTGTGCGCCGTTTTGAAGACCGGGGGTGCTCAGGATCTCAGGTTGAAGGCACTGCAGGCGGTGGGCTGCTCCGGTTGTACGTGATTTGAGGCTGTGGTCGCTGCTGCTTCATGAAAGCATGCGGCCCGACGACTCAGACCAGCCTGCCGAGCCCGTCCAGTCTCAGAAGCCTGCGAATTTTGATGCTCCCATGATGCGAGGTTCGAAGGCCCGAGAAAGGGGGTACCGGTAGCAGCTGGTAGGGCAACGGGCGCTGCTCCTGCACACAGGCAAAGTCCATGGTGGTGCCACCAAAGATGTCGGCACCATCCCCTTCACCTCGGCCCCTTGCAGCTGTGGAGGTGCCTCATTGCAATTTCTGCTGGTACATTGTCACGAGCACGCCAGCGGCGAGGTTGAGACTCCACGGATAGCACGCGCCTCGCTGGCAGCTGTCGGTGAGGGTAACTTCGTGGTAGATGCAGAGCCGCAAGACCTGAAGTGGTCGCCACGCACCATCTCAGTCGCCGGAGCCCTAGCGACTGGACCTTTACGGACCCGCTCCAAGCTGTTCCTGCAGCCATTGAAGGGATCCTGAATGGACTATCAGGTGCTCCCATGTGCAGAAGAGCGAGATTTGGCAGCCACTTGATAGCAGCTGCATTGCAAAGCGTGTTTGCTTGGGCTCACTTGTTCTGAAATTCTGACACGGTTAGTCGGCCCTTGCTTGCCTTATCCCGAGTTCAAAACCGTGAAGTCTGTCTTCGACACGACTCCGACTGATATTCTGCATGAGATCGTCGTTGTTGATGACGGCAGCAGCTGCGAAGCATGTTATCTTTCATCCTCCTTAGGAGGATAGACATGATCTCGGGATGAGTTTACGACAACTACAGCAAGACTCCGATCATTGCAGGTTAGATTTGCGAATAGCTACGACGGTCTTGGCAATGAAAAGCTGCTTCGTCCGGCAAGAGCTGGATTGACTCGTGCCTTGACTCAGGTAATCCTCCGCTTTCTGAGACACACCTCAATTCCGATGTCCAGAAGAAGTACAAGATCTTGATCAAGAGACACGATCGGACGGTGGGGCTGATCGGTGCCAAGAAGACTGGTGGAGATGCTGCAACTGGTGACATCATCGTATTCTTCGACTGTCACGTGGGACTCTCGACTCTGGCTTTGATTTCTGTGAAGATGTTACTAGTACCTATCAGGACAGGCTACTACTACTACTACTACTA